TTTCAGTCAAAATACATATAATTCTTGCATTTTGTCCATTGTGGTGCATAAAGTGGTCCTTTTGTGATTATGATATTCTGCTAGCTTTTATTAGACTGGGATTTTGTCACTTAAATGGAGTTATTTGTTCTTAATGCTTTCCAGCACAGATCTATTTTCTTATGCAGTCATATGGCAAGTAGGCACACCTCACTACAGCACTGATATAGCAGAGAAACAACTATAGAATGTAGAACAGCAGAGAGTGGTTGTGGTATGTTGAAGAGTAAGGAAATGGGAAAGCTCTGAATCTGCTAGGAGTGATTCATTCATGGAGCCAGAAGAACTGTGAATCACAGCTTTGCTCTTGCCATGTGAGCAAGCCAAATGCTCACATCAGGAGACCAAAAGAATTCAGGCCTTGTTTTTAGAAACCTGTAACCTGTATAACCAGCCTGATATTAGTTTTGTGGGCCTTTTGAAGCCTTTACTCTAGAACCTCTGTTTCTCTGATGAATAAGCCTACTGAAGGAGAAGACTGCAATTGTTTGGATTTTACTGACTAACATATTTCATAGATTTTTTTCCTTCAGTTGTGCTAGTAATTGACTGTATAAAAGGATTTAGTTCAACAAATCACTGAGCTATTACAGATTGTTCCCCTTTGCTTACTTACAAGTGCTACTGTGTAGCTTTTTCCACAGGAAGACAATCTTACATTGAAGGCATCAAAAGGATTTTCACAGAACCTTGCAGTTGCACAAATAAACAAGGTTATTCCACCAATTATCTGTGAAACTGGGTTAGGTTGCCTATAGCTAACCTCAAAGTCTAAGCTTTGAACCTGATTCACTGACTATCTGTAGCCCTGTTTTTTCCACAAGATATTAAAACTAGGCTTTATAAAATGTTGCCTAACCTCTTGGATTTCATAAAAATACTTTATCATTACTTCACAGAATCACAGAATCATAAGGTTGGAAACGACCTGCAAGATCATCTAGTCCAACCACCCTCCCATTCCTATCGGTGCCACAAGCTACTGAACCATCTCTTGTAGCTCCTCATCCAGGCGCCTCTTGAACACTACCAGGGACGGCGACTCCACCACCTCCCTGGGCAGCCATTGCAGTGCCTGACCACCCTTTGAGAGAAAAAGTTTCTCCTAATGTCCAACCTAAACCTCCTCTGGTACAACTTCTGGCCGTTTCCTCTGGTCCTACTATTTGCCTGGGAGAAGAGGCCAGAACCTTTTGCACCACAACCTCCCTTCAGGAAGTTGTAGAATGCAATGAGGTCTCCCCTGAGCCTCCTCTTCTCCAGACTGATCAATCCCAGCTCCCTCAGCCGCTCCTCATAAGACTTGTGCTCCAGATCCCTCACCAGTTTCGTTGCCCTTCTCTGGACACGTTCCAGGGCCTCAATGTCTTTCTTGTAGTGAGGGGCCCAAAACTGAACACAGTACTCGAGGTGCGGCCTCACCAGTGCCGAGTAGAGGGGGATGATCACCTCCCTGCTCCTGCTGGCCACACCATTGCTAATGCAGGCCAGGATGCCGTTGGCCCTCTTGGCCACCTGGGCACACTGTCGGCTCATGTTCAGCTGAGCATCAACCAACACCCCCAGGTCCCTTTCCTCTTCACAGTCATCCAACCACTCATCCCCAAGCCTGTAACGCTGCATGGGGTTGTTGTGGCCAAAGTGCAGAACCCGACACTTGGCCTTGTTAAACCTCATCCCATTCATCTCAGCCCAGCGATCCAGCTTATCTAGATCCCTCTGCAGGGCCTCCCTGCCCTCAGGCAGATCGGCACCACCTCCCAACTTGGTGTCATCTGCAAACTTACTCAGGGTACGCTCAATCCCTTCATCTAAGTCGTCAATGAAGATATTGAACAGGATGGGCCCCAGTACCGACCCCTGGGGGACACCACTTGAAACAGGTCTCCAGCTAGACTTCACTCCATTGACCACCACCCGTTGAGCACGGCCCTCCAGCCAGTTCCTTATCCAACGGAGGGTAAAACTGTCCAAGCCACGGGCAGCCAGTTTCCGCAGAAGGATACTGTGAGAGACCATGTCAAAGGCTTTGCTGAAGTCTAGGTAGACTACATCAACTGCCTTTCCCTCATCTACCAATCTGGTCACCCAGTCGTAGAAGGAGATGAGGTTGGTCAAACACGACCTGCCTTTCATGAACCCATGCTAGCTGGGCCTGATCCCGTGGACAAGCTGTGTGATCTCTCCCAGGAGGATTTGTTCCATGGCCTTCCCTGGCACTGATGTCAGGCTGACAGGCCTGTAGTTCCCCGGATCCTCCTTACAGCCCTTCTTGTAGATGGGAGTCACATCAGCAAGCCTCCAATCCTCTGGAACCTCTCCAGTCAACCAGGAGCGCTGGTAGATAGCCGAGAGCGGCTTAGCGATCACCCCCGCCAACTCCCTCAGCACCCTAGGATGAAGCCCATCCGGTCCCATGGACTTGTGACTGTCCAGATGGAGGAGCTCTCTAACTGTCTCCACCTCGATCTCCGGGGAGACGTGCTGCATGTCAACCCAGATATCCAGATCAGGGCAAAAGATAGCTGGTCTGACTATTAAAGGCAGATGTAAAGAAGGCGTTGAGGACCTCAGCCTTCTCCTTGTCATCTGTGGTCACATTCCCCTCCGCATCAATTAAAGGACAGAGATTATCCTTGGTTTTTTTCTTGCCATTGATATATCTGTAAAAGGATTTCTTATTCTGCTTTACTGCAGTGGCCAATCTAAGTTCAAGATGGGCTTTCGCCTTCCAGACTTCCTCGCTGCATACCTTAGCTACTCCCTTGTAATCTCCCCTAGTAACCTGTCCCTTCTTCCACAGGACATAGACTCTCTTTTTCTTCCTGAGTCTTGACAGTAATTCCCGGCTCATCCACACCGGTCTTCTCCCCCTATGGCTCGCCCTACGGTATTCAGGGACAGCCTGTTTTTGTGCCTTTAAGATTTCCACCTTGAGGAGCGTCCAGGCTTCCTGGACCCCTTTACCCTTAAGGAGCGACTCCCAAGGGACCCGTGCTACAAGTGTCCTGAGCAGGTCAAAGTCCGCCCTCTTGAAGTTCAAGATAGCAGTTTTGGTAGTCACCCTTCTGACATCTCCAAGAATAGAGAACTCTACAATTTCATGGTTGCATATGCTCCATTCAAGAGCTGGAAGGGCACAGTGAGGTCTCTTCAGAGCCTTCTCTTCTCCAGCTAAACAAGCCCTGTCTCCTCAACATTTCCTCGTAGGACATGTGTTCCAGTCCTCTGATCATCTTAGCGGCCCTCCTCTGCACCTGATATAAGAGCTCTGCATATTTCTTGTGCTGGGGGCCCCAGGCCTTGGATGCAGTACTCCAGACGGGGCCTCGTAAGAGCTGAGTAGAGGAGGACTACCATCTCTCTTTCCTTGCTGGCCTCCCCTGTTTTAATGCAGCCCAGGATATAGTTGCTTACGGGCTTCAAGCACATGATGCTCGCTCATATCCAACTTCTCATCCACCAGAACTCTCAGAATATTCACAAGCATTTATGTGATCCCCCCTCAGCCCTCCTTTCCCCAGGATGAACAGACTCAGGTCCCACCATGTCTCATGTGTGATTGCAATGACATCACACCCCTGTAAGCACACACAGATCTCCAGTTCTTCCTGTTTATTCCCGACGCAGCGTGCATTGCTATACAGGCACTGTAGGGAAGCAGAGGGTGCAGGAATCTCTAGAGGGATGCAGGAAGGTTTAAGCCCGGCTCTTGGCAATGTTGTCTTCCCTGAGGAGTCCTCACAAGATCCTACTGGACAACTGGAGGTTTCTCTCCACAGTTTACTTAGAAGACATCATTCCCAGGCCCTTCTCTGTTGCAAGTGACATGCGGAATCAAAGTCTATAACCACAGAGCAGTCATAAAACAGGCATGTTCACTCAGAGCTGCACACCTATGCTGGATGCAGAGGGGTACTGCCTCCTAGCCTGCATACGGGAGGTCAAGAAAGGCACATGCTTAAAGAGCAAGCAGCTCACATATGCATTGGATGTCCAAGAAAAGGTTGTTTTATTGCCGTGAGTCCCCAGAATGATTGACATTTTTCCCCGCCCTAAGTCTCAGTTCTTTTATGCGTGTGAGGCATTTCTCCCTGGTCATCTGGCGGTCTTTCTGATGAAGGCCGTTGTCTTCCTGGCTGTGTACTCTTTGACCTGGGTGCAGTTGGAAGATGCTTGCCTGGCTCTGAACGGTCCTCTTATCAGCATCAACTTCATCCACCAATCCACTGCTTCTTTGTTAATTTATGGTTTACTGCCCAGCCTGCTGCCTTGCATTCCAGAGATGGGATAGCTAACAATGTTATTTGGAGAAACAGGAGACTCGCTGTCCGCACTGACTCTCTAGGTCTGTATAAAAGCATCTGTTATCAGCAGCGAAAACCTGGCTTAGAAAGGTCAGATTTGTAGCTGCCAATTCAGCACCTCATGAAGGCATAGAACTTCTAACCTAACTTATTTTCCTCATTTCACAAGGAACTCCATTCCATTCCTCCATCAAATGTGGTTTAATCAATCTAGCCAGCTAGCTTTCCAGAACACTTTGGCCCCAACTGCTCAGTTGTGTTCCATCTCGTGCCCACACACCTGTCCAAGATCAAGGTACACAAAACCTTGATCCCAACACCATCCCAGTAATCAGCCAATAATTTACCACCTCTATTCTCCTCCTTCCTTCTGGGACCCAGCCTCCAGCCAGAAGGACAGAGGAGAACACTCCTGGTGCTCCCAATCCCTTTAGTGCCTTTCCATGGGATGCAAAGTCTCTTTCTGATATTCTGCCATTTCCTCGTGGCAGCCTCCCATGACCCTACTTGGATGACAATAAGCAGATGGTGGTGTTCTTGTTTGATCAGATGCGGTGGAGTCTCCCTAATGTCTCTGACACGTGCCCCTAGTGGACAGCAGAGCTCTCTGGAGAGGTTGTCGGGCAGCAGATGGGGACCTCAGTGCCTCCCGGCATGGAGTCCCCAGTCACTAAGACAATGCCGGGCAACGGTGCCCAGCAGCTGCTCCCTGGCAGGGGCTCTCCATCACCCGCTGAGGTCATTCCCAGCATGGAACCAGAGCCCCAGAGCCGATTGCATCACAAAAATGTGCTGTGTTTGAGGGCCTGCAGGGTTGCCCTGCAGTGTCTGGTCCCCAGCCCAGGGTGCATCATTCATTCTCTGTGAGGTGACACTGCAGTGTGGTGTCACAGTGGCTGCGTCATACACCCTTGTGGAGCGGTGGGAGCGGTGGCTCAGTCCGCTTGTGGGACCCGCAGGAAGTGGAACCAGAGAGAGCTTTGTGTCTATCTGGAGGCATCCTGCTATCATGGAGAGGCTGAGAGCCCTTCGAGGTGAGTCCCTCCACCTCTCTGGACCCTGTGACACTGCCTGAGCACACGTGTGCCTCCAGTGTCTGTTTAGGACGTGCCAGCAGCACTGTCCTTGCTCTGCCGAGTGCAGCTGCCCACCATGGTTTCCCCAGCACCCCAGCAAGGAGAAAGCTCCCTCCCCTGCTCCCACCAACCACTCATACCCCTGCGCTGTGGGGCTGGAGGAGCGTTCCTCCCACAGCTGGCCGGGTGCTCAGCCCTGGCTCCAAGCAACACCTGCAGCAGCTGCTCTGCTCTTTCCTTCCAGGTCTCTTTGCTTGTGTGGGCTGCGTGCCCAGACGGACGCGTCGCAGGGAGAGAAGCAGGGTGTCAAGCCCTGTCCCTACCTGCGCCGTGACCTTACTGCTTCAGCGCCTGCAAGATCAGGAGGTGAGCTGGGGACATCCAACCACCAACCCTTGTCCTCCTGGCCCAGGGCCACGGTCCCGTGGGTGCCAGGCCCGGCAGCACATCCACAGAGCGATGGGTGGCAGCGGGCAAAGCGAGCGTGACTGGTCCTTGTCCCCAGGGTGACCGAGCGCAGGCGTACTGTGAGCTGGAGAGCGCCCTGTGCCAAGACAGCAGCCGCCCGCCGTGCGGAGTGGTGAACCGGCTGCTGGCAGAGGTGTCCCGGGACCTGACGGCAGCCCAGGTGAGGGCTCACTCCCAAAGGCAAAGGGAACCGCCTGCCCACGCTGGTGTTCTGCTGGCAGATAGTGGTGGTTTAACCCTTCCAAGGGCCTCAGGCGGTCTCCTGTGCCGCGTGTCACCAGTGACTCTCTTCCAGGGCGTGACCAGCAATTTGAGGACAGCTGCCAGCAATGTCCTGGTGGCTCTGGCTCGGACGCACTTCACCTTGGTGATGGCTGAGCTCCAGAGCCACCTGAAGGCCACGGGGGACATGTCCAAGGAGTTTGTGCTCATCACCCTGAGCAAACTCTTCAGCACCTATGGTAGAGTACCCTCAACCTCCTGACATCTATAACAACCGGGAAAGGGGTCTCTGCCCTCCACGTGTGATCTGCATTGAGCTGGGGGATGCAGGGCTGCAGCCCCTCCTCCCTCGCTGCCAGGACTCTGACTGTGGCCCTCTCCTTCCTCTCTGCAGCTCCACAGTGCATCCCCTTTGTGTGGCTGTTGCTGGCAGGCCTGCGCAGTGTGGTGGGCCAGGTGAAGAGTGGCCAGATCCTGCGCATCGCTTGTGCTGGTGAGTGCTGGCCCCAGAGCAGAGGGCCTCAGGACAGCCCTTGCACCTCACCCTGCTGCAGACTCTCACAGGCTCCCTTTTCTCTCACTCCCTTTTTCAAAAAAATATTATTATTATTATTGTATAAGTATTTTGTTATGTTTTTTTCAGTTGTGAAACAGTGGCTGGATGGAGTGAAGATCCACTTGTCCTCAGGAATGCAATGCCCCTGGCCTGCCATGGAGAAAGAGCAGATCTATGAAAACCTTCATGAGCTGCTCTTCTCCGTGATGTGGAACTGGCAGGACTGCCAGGAGGAAAAGGTGAGCACTGCTGCATTCCCAGCCCAGGATGGCAGCAGGGGCACCCATGTCGGCAGCTCTGTCTGTGCCCAGTGGGCTGAGAGCTGAGGGGTGATGAAAGGGAGGGCTGGCTCTGCAAAGGGCCCTGAAGTGGCTCTGTGCCAGGGAGCAGCTGCATGTCACAGCACTGTGGCAGGAAGAGCTGGGGATGAGGGTATGGGGAAAAGCTGCCTGCCCTCCAGAGCGAGCCCATCTCCTGCTGGGCGTGGGGGTGTGGGGAAGGGGAAGGGGAAGAGAAAGCCCTCTGTGTAGGAAGGGCAGACCTTCAGTCTTTGATACTGGACCTCTGCCATCCTCTCCAGGACAAACAGGCCGTCCTTGGGGCTGTGGCTGCCATGTTGGAGGTTCTCCTGCAAGAGGAGCAGCACCAAGAGCACGTCTGGGAGCAGCTCCTCTGGCTCGTTCGCCCTTGTCAGGAGATCCAAGACACCTGCAGGGTGGCCAAGGTGAGGTGTTGTGCAGGGCTCAGGGTGGATGTGGGGCCCGTGCAAGTGCCACGAGGGGTCAGCAGGATGCAGGGAGGAGGTGGGGAGCCCTTGGAGAAAGAAGGAATGGGTGTTCAAGGGAGGTCTGATGCTTCCTGAGCTCTTCAGTCAAAGAAGGAATGGCCTGGACAAGAGCCAGGAGGGAGCCAAGAGTCACAGGGGCTCACCTCCTGGGGATGGGAGACTTTGTCACCACCACCTGGGTGGTGGGGCTCTGAATGCCTGAGGAGCTGTGTTCTAACAACTGGGGCGACCACAGCCAGTTGCATCTGATGGGGGAGAAGTGGGCTGCTGGGTGGGAAATGCCTGCAAATGATGTCCAAACACGGCTTGATTGAGAGCAGAGAGACTCTCTTGGTACTGCTGGGTGGTGGGGGATAAACAAGAAAGCCTGTGCAGGAGCTTCTCCCTGCAGAGAAACAATTGGGAAACAGTTTCTCCACTCGCAAGTGTGGAGAAGATGTGGCTTCATCCCTTTCTTCCTCTCCTGCTCTCTTGCAGAGCCTCACTATCTTCCTGGAGGCCTTAGGGGGCACTGAATCTGTCATTCCAAGGGACAGGTTTCTGGACGTCACTAGCGCTGTGTTCTACCAGGTAAGGGGAGCCTATCCTTGCGCCCACAGCAGTTTCCCTCTTGGCTAAGTCTCAGGAGGACTGCAAAGCTCTGACCCCTGAATAAGGAGGCTCAGCCTTAGCTCCTGCATGCTCAAGGCTGTTCCAGAGCCATGCATGTACTCCCGGGGATGCTGTGGGGTGGGCTGCATTTTTTCTGCCTGTCCTCTTCCCGAGAGTGCCCAGGGAGATGAGAGCGGGCAGCACAGTGTCTTTTCCATCCTCAGTGCTGATGTGATTGTATCAAATGGACCTTGTTCCCACAGCTCTATGATGACAGCAAGCAGCACAGCGAGGCTGATCGTGCGCAGCTGACTCACTGCATCATGCTGCAGGGTAAGGAGAGGAGCTTTGGCGATGCTTGGCGCTGCCCTGGCCAAAACCTCTCTCACAAAGCTCAGGAATGGGTGTGAGTTTCTTGCTAACATAGCGTGGGATTTCCTCCCTGCAGCCCAGATCTGCCCAGAGGAAACCATCCTGTTTCTGCAGTCGCAGCTGGGCGATGACTGGGAGCCTGGATGCGTGGCAGCCCTGGGTCTGCTGGGTGCTCTGGCTCGCTCTGATGGTCAGTACCACGGGTTGGTCAGTACCATGCCTTTTGCCATCTGGGATCCCTTTTGCCATCTGGGATCCCTTTCGCCATCTGGGTTGTGGCTCCGCTCATGCTTCTGCGTATCTCTTGCAGAGCCCATGATGACAGAGAAGCTGCCCCAGGTCGTCGAGGCTGTGCAGCGTCTGTGCAATGACCCCAGCATCCGGGTGAGCTGATTTGGGAAAAGAAAGTTCTGTTGGGGTGGTGATGCTGCTGCCAGCACAGGCAAGGCTGGAGTGACTAGAGAGGTGCTGGAGCATTGACCACACGGTCACGATGGCTCCTGTGGGGAGAGCAGGCAGAGTGGAGCGGGCAGGTCCCTGTGCTGTGCATGGAAATTGCACAGCCTGGTGCTAAGGCCTGGCCCCCATGTCAGAAGCCAAAGCTTCTCCTCTGCTCTTGTTGTCTCTGCTTGTGCCCAAAGGGCTGCCCTGATGAGCAGGTGGCTTCCCTTTGCCTTTTGACCAGAAAAATCACACCCACAATTGTTCTCTGGCAGGTGAGGACAGCTGTTCTGCATTTCATTAATGATCTGTTCAGCTCTAACACCCGGAGCTGCTCAGCCTGGGATGTGGTGGGGCACATCTTCAGGGAGTTCAGCCGCACCACGGCAAGAAGGGTAAGGGCAGTGGACAGCATCTTCTTTTGGAAGACCCGTGTTGCTCGGAGGGTAGCACAGAAGCACTGCTGGGCCCACATCTAAGCCTCCCAAGAGGCTCCTGAGAACTGAGCATAACCAGTGTTTCATTACAACTGTTGTGCAGGCATCCGGAGACCTTTCTGCCCAGGAAGCCCAGGAAGAAGGAGCTCTCCAGGAGCTTTGCATGGACACCCTGGGATCACTGGACGTCTCTGTGAGAGGGATGTCCAAAGTGAGTCACGCTCTGCCCTGCTGCTGTTCCCTGCCCTTGCACCACATGTTCCTCGTCCCATTCCAAGACCCCAGGTCTCTCCTCCAACGTGCTCTGAAGCACACAGGACTCAGGGAAATTCACAGAGTCCTCTTCATCTCTGAGCAGAGGCAGGAATGCTGACCTGCTCAACTGCCTTGTTCCCTACAGCTCCTGTGGCCGCGGCTGCTGTTGTTTGTGGTGCCAGCGCAGTACACAGGCATGCTGATCCCAGTCTCCCGCTGTGTCTGTGCCCTGGCTGAGAGAGAGGAGCTGACAGGACGGCCGATAGAACACCTGGATCCCCATTTTGTCAGCTCCATGTTTCAAGGTAGGAGCAAAAACTCCCCCAGTGAGCTCTGCTGACCTGTGGTAGCACCCAGAAGGGACAGCGGAGGTGTGCATGGCTGGGCACGCAGTGTCTTGGAGTCTTACTCAGCACTTTTTTTCTCTTTGCAGGCCCACTGCTGACGCCCCAGACACTGCTGGCACGACTGCTGGTGAGTAGATGCTCCAGAGGCCAGTGCCACGAGCAGCCAGGAGGAAGCAGCATGGCCATGGGCAAAGCTGTTGGCTGCTCTTTGCCTGCCAGGGCAGAGCCAAGTTGCTTCCTTTTTGGGGGGAAGCAGCTGCTCTTGCTGCAGAAGTGACCCTGCTTCTCCTTGCTCTCACTCAGGTGGTGGCAGGCAGCCCTGTAGCAGGCAGCAAACTCCAAGCTGCTGCCTTACTGCTGATGAAAAACCTCCACAGCAGGTTCCACAGAGTTCTGGGGGCCATGTGGGCTACTGAGATCCCCCTGCTGCTGCAGTGTCTTGAAGGTAAAGCACTGGTGGGGAGGAAGAGGCAGAGGCAGGGAAGGGGGGTGAGTGAAAATGCAGCTCTGCAGAGTGGCAGAGGGGAAGCACTGCCTGCAGCCCAGTGCCGCGCTGTCTCCATTCCTGGGAGTCAGCTCTGAGGCACAGGGACCTATGCCCCTGGGGATCTCCCCATTCCAGGACAGGGATGGGCCCTGCACATCCCCTCAGACAGCAGCCTTGGAGCACTTAGTTCCGTGTTCCTGCGGGGGCAGTGTTTGTGGGGAGGGACAGGTCACTGTGGAGGGGGTGCGGGTCCCAGCTTGGCTGTGTCAAGTGCCCAGGCCAAGACAGGTTTGCAGCAGCTCTTCTGTGCCTTGATCCCAAGTAAGGGTCTTTTTCTTCCTATCGCTGTGCAGGGAAAGATGAGAGCTTCCCGGACACTGCCGAGTTTGAGCGCCGTCTGCTAAAGGTACAGCATTGCCGGGAGGCGCGGTGCAGAGAAGTGCTTGCCTGCCCCAAGTAGCCCCGCTCCCACATGAGCCGCTGCGGGACAGGAGCAGCCTCTCAAGCGCTGCTGCGGAGCGGCCGCACGCCTTTGTGGCGCTGCCTCTTTCGCTCTGTCCCAAGCCCAGGGGGTCTTAGGAGAAGAGGGCAGCTGGCTTTAATGGAGGGAACGCTGGGGGAGCTGGGAGAGGGACTGTTCTTCCTGACACCTCTCCCTAGAGGGCTGCAGCAAGTTGGGAGTGAGGGAAGAGGCAAAGGGCAAGGGAACATTGTCTTCTCCTGTTCTCCAACAGTTCCTGAGGGCGTCAGTGGACACCGTAGATGATGAGGCATGGACCGAGGCCCTGAGCAGTGAGCTGAGCCAGCGGCTGAGCAGCTCCACCGGCAGCTCTGCCGAAAAGGTGAGTTCCCCCGGCTCTACTCAGCGGTGCAGCTGCAGGTGTCGAGCTGGGGCTGGGGCTGGGGCTGGGGCTGCGGCTGGTGCTCTGCCCATGCGGGATGCTGATGCTGCTTCCCAGTCTGTGCCCCCCAGAGGCCTTTCCCTGCAATCTGCCCGGGGATGGCTAAAGCTTGGCCCTGCAGCTGCTCTCAGCGACTCCCAGGGAGTGTGGGTCCTCCCCACCTGGCCCTCCCCCAGCAGGTTAAGCTGCTGCCACATCTCAGCTTCTTCCTTCCCTTCCCATGCAGTCGTTCCTGTACAAGGCTCTGGGCACGGTGCTGGGATCCTGTAAGGGAGTCCTCCACGTGCAGGAGAAGCTGCTGCAGCACCTGGAGGAGGCAAATGCAGAGGAACCATGTGAGGCCCAGGTGAGCTCTCCTCTCCTCCAGCTCCTGCGAGCATCCCTGCTCTGGCCCTGGGGCAGGGGGCTTTTCCTGGCCCTGCTCCGGGCCTTTCAACCTCTTCACTGCTGCCATTTTGCTCAGGAGAGGACCTGTAGATTCAGGCCTTTGCCAACGGCCGCTTGTTCTTTTGTGCAGGGAATCATCTTTCTTCTCAGCCATGCTGCTAAGAACAACTTCCACACAGTCCTGGCCACACTCACCATGTTTGCGTCCAGGCTGTGCAAAGGCCGCAATGCCAGGATTTCCAGGCGCAAGAAGGTAAAGCGTTACGGGTTTCCATCTTGGCATTCTTCTGCCTTATTTTCCCTGCAGCTCCTGCCTTGGGAGCCCAGGTGCATCGCGGGGCACTGGGGGCCGTTAGCGAATGTCTCAAGGCATTTCTTCCCACACAGATGGAGCTGGACAGCACGAGAGCTCATGCCACACGCAGCGCTCTCATGCTCGCCCACGGCAGTGTGGCACTGCGTGCCTCCAAGGAACAGCTGCTTGCCCACCTGGAGGGAGGCATCGTGGGCAACATCCTGATGCTGTACAGCTGCAGCTGCCGGGTGAGAGCTCAAAGCATGCCAGGGTGTCAGAGCGCCCAGCTGCAGCCCCTCCACGTGGGGGGATGCTGAGATGGGCCTTCCCTTTCCAAAGGTCCCTTGGGGAAGGGTTTGTGTCCACATGAAGATCCAAGCCCTTCCCTTAGCGTTGTCCCCACGTGTGTCCCCCTTGCAGCCCTTGTCCCTTCCCGCAGTTCAAAGAATGTTCTTCTCTCTTGCTCCTCAGGACTTGCAGAACAACCTCGCGCTGCTGCAGAGCATCACTGACTGCAGCACTGCCTTCCAAGCTGTGGGTGATTCTGCCAGCTTTAACCGCTCCTTGAAGAGCAAGCTGCTGGAGATCCTGATGGTGAGTGCCTAGAGACAGGGCTGTCTGCAGAGGAGTTCTGGGCTGCGCCACAAGGCTCGCTTCCCTGGGGGCATGCAGGTGTCCAGCAGCCACACGTCTTCAGCTGGTGGGGACCTTGGGTACTGGCAGGCAGCAGCTGGGCAGCAGGCTAGGTGCATCAGCTGTCAAGCTGCTGCATTCTGCAGTGCTTCCATGGGAAAGTGATGGGCTGGTGTGTGGCAGTTTTGCCTGTCTCGGGGCCGGGTGGAACAGCTCTTGTGTGCCCCTTGCCCACTTTGACACTGTCTCTCTGGGACTTGCAGGACCTGATGAAGAAGTATTACTCGGGCATCCCTGTCTCCCCAGTGCCGCTCAAGGTGGTTCTGGCCCTGGAGCAGTTGAGGTAAGGACTGAGGTTGCAAGGCAGGATAGTGGTCCCCGTTTAGGGTAGCTCCTGAGGGCCTGGAGGGGGCAGGGAGGGAGGAGCCATATCCACAGGAGAGACGGCTGGGCTGTTGTGCCCAGCGAAGTTGAGGTTTGGAGCAGGGAGAAAGGCCCTGGTCCTCCTGTCCCCTGGCAGGGAAGAGTTGGGGTCTCCTTCCCTCCAGAGCGGGAGGTGGTTCACTGCTGCTGGGGAGGAGGTGGGCGCTGCTGGAACTGAAGACAGTGCTCAGCAGCATGAGCTGGGGGTATTGGCTTGGTAGCTGTTGATTAGGAGAAATTCAGAGGTTGCCTGAACCAGTCTAGAGAGCACTGGTAAGGGCCCTTTCTGATTTCTCTTCCTGTTTTCCTCCTCTCAGCAAGCTGAAGCCCTCTTTCGAAAGCAAGGATATGCGTGAGATGTTGGTCCTGTGCTGCAAGAACATCGTGACACATCCTTCAGCAGAGATGATGCTGAAGATCAGGAAGTCACAGCAAGCAGCACAGTACCTGCAGGTAACCTGCCGTAACTTTCCCGGCCACCTCTCGGTCGGAACCCTACCTCAGCACACGCAGCCTCTGCTCTGGCAGCAGCCGTGATGCTACACGTCACTCCCCTCTTCTGCTTTCAGCTTCAGCAAACATCACTGAAAGCTCTGGGCCGGCTCATGGTGGTCCTGCTGGAGACAGAGCCCAGCGGCGGCTTCTTCCAAAACATAGTGCATGTGAGTATGTGCTGCGAGAGCAGCAGTGCCGGTGCTCAGTGAGGCGGGAGTCCTTGGGGGAAAGGGCTGGGAAAGGAGGGACAGGGAGAGGGGTGGCAGGAAGGGAAGGAAAAGACATCCTCAGTGAGACAGATGCTCTACCCCAGGTCCTGCAGAAATCGATGGTCTCAAGCAACGTGTGGGAGCGCAAGAGGGCCCTGCAGACCTGCTCCCAGCTGCTGGCTGTTTGTGAAGAGCTTCAAGTGAGTAAAGAGCCCCACCGCATGCCCCGTGCTCCCTCCCCTGTGCCCCTGAGCTGGAAGGTGAGCTCCGCCCAGCTGTGCATGCTGTGTCATGGCGGCGTGGGGAAGGCACAGATGGGAGAAGCTGGGGAGAGCTGGGGCTGTCTACAGCTTTGTTCCTGCCTCTCACCCCTGCAGAGAGGAGATGCCTGTGAGCACTTTGGCTCCTTGGTGGGATTGCTGGCGCCTCTGACGTGTGACCCCATGCCTGCATCCCGCCAGCTGGCTGTCACCTGTCTGAGCTCCCTTCTGCGAATCCAAGGTGAGTAGAGCAGGTGTGCTCCAGCCCTCTGCCCTCCTCCGTAGCACTACCAGAGCCCCACGGGCTAGGCTCTCTTGACAGGAGGGAGAGGCACCGTGCACAGTTCTCCTCTTGTCCCCATCCTGTCCTCTGTCTCTCCACCATGGAAAGCGGTCCTATTTCCAGAAGCGTGACTTCCCTTTTCTCCCTGTGCTCTTTCCAGCCAAAGCAGTCAACGCAGTCATTGAGACGGGTGACATCAAGAGCTTGTGCGAGGGGCTGCATGCCTGCAGCGTCGCCTCTCAGCTCCAGACCACGTCCAAAATGGCAAGAGTAAGTGGACCCAAAAAGGGGTGGTGGGATCTCTGTCCATAGAATTCTGCATGGCCCTATGCTGCCCCCAGCCTCTCACACCATTTCCAAAATGAGCTGTCACCCTGAGACTGCTTTTCTCAGCCAGTAGCAGGAGGCTCTGAGCTATGTCTGGCCTTCAGGCACCCAGTGCAAGGAGCTGATGCCATGATGTGTGTTTGTGTGCATGTGTGACTATGGCTGCTGGGAGGGAGGCTTTGCATGTAAGCAAACACCATGGGTGCAGAAGCTGAGAGGAGGCTCAATCGCCTTCCGTATAAACAGCAGGGTACAGACAGCAGGAGCGCTGTGATTGCCGCCTGAATGAGCGGCAAGCCTCTGAGCTAAGAATGCCCTCAAGACTGCTTTGTGTTTTGAAGAGCTGCAGCAGAGCAGTGATGGGATCTCTCCCGCTTCTCATTTCTCTGCAGATTGTGTGCAGAAACTTCCCCATCGAACGCACCGTTGACTTCATGGCGGCCATCAAGGAGACCATCCGGAAAGCCAACGGAGTGCGCGTGCGTGCTGCTGGGAAGTGGATGACCACCTTCCTGCAGATGCACGGGAAGGACATCAGTTGGAACGTAAGAGACTTTCTCCCACGTGTCTTGGACTTGTTCTGGCCATTGCACATGGCTAGGCCCTGCAGAGTCCAGGATGCAGCAAGTCATTCTTTCTCCCCTTCTTCTTTCAGGTGCCACCGATCCTCTACATCCTGCGCAGCATCACCTCGTTTGCGCAGCAGAGCACGTTCCTGCCCTTCCTGTGCCAGGCGGTGGTCATCCTCACCCGCTGTCACACCGAGGCCGTGATGAACAACTTCTCCCGGCCGCTTGGGCCAACAGACAGGTACTGGCACTCCCGCCTTTGCTGTGCCTGAGGTCACAGTTGTAGCTGGCCTCTGCCAGAGGAATCCAAGGAGGAGGCAGCTTTGAGTCTGTTTGAGGTCACAAGTCACAACTTGAGACTCTCCTTTTTCTAGTGTGACGTGGAAAAGAATAAGAGAGTTTTGCCTTCAACGCTGGAGCCAGTAGAAGAACGAAGAGAAAGACAAGAGAGGAGGAGGAGAAGGAGAAGGAGAGGCAAGGCAAGTCGAAGCAAAGCGGAGAAGCGAAGAGAGACGAGAAGCGAAGCAAAGAGAAAAGCAAAGCAAAGCGAAGAGATACCACTAATCACATAGAGAATTGTAATTGTATTTGTATTGTAATTGAATTGTAATTGTAACAATACTATTATTAATATCTTTAATACTAAATAAATAAATAAAACCACTATTTATATTAATATTATTAATACAAAAATCTCTCTGATAATAGGATTGTAAAAGCCAAATGGGAGGTGGCAAAAGTTCAGACACTCTTCCTTATCATAGCTGAATCAATTGGTTTGTTCAGAATTATGGAACAGACTCTAACATCTTATTAGAGCATTTCCTGCCTGGGAAGAATTAGATGACATTATTCTTGGAAATCTAGAAAGCAAAGGATGATTAGTTATGGCTCTGACCGATTAAGGACTTCCTCCCCAAGATGGGCTGCTGTGATGGAAATGATGTTCCTTGAGTAACAGACCAACAGCAAAAAGCACAGCGACCAGTACTGCAAACTGGTGAAGCTGGTTGTGTGGAGGGCTTCTATCAGAATATTCTGCAGTGGTTTTAAAGGTTTGTTTCCAACTGCTTGAGTTTTCGTGTGCATCCTGAATGGCCAATATGTTCATCCCTCAGTCTGTCACTGGCAGGAGATGTTATGTTACGAGAAACTGGATATGAGCAAGCAGCGTGCGCTTGCAGCCTGGAAAGCCAACTGTGTTCTGGGCTGCATTGAGACAGGGGTGGCCAGCAAGGAAAGAGAGATGGTAGTCCTCTACTCAGCTCTTGCCAGGCCCCATCTGGAGTACTGCATCCAAGGCCTGGGGCCCCCAGCACAAGAAATATGCAGAGCTCTTATATCAGGTGCAGAGGAGGGCCGCTAAGATGATCAGAGGACTGGAACACATGTCCTACGGGGAAAGGCTGAGGAGACTGCGCTTGTTTAGCTGGAGAAGAGAAGGCTCTGAAGAGACCTCACTGTGCCCTTCCAGCTCTTGAATGGAGCATATAAACAGGAGAGGGAACAACATTTTACATGGGTCGATATGGTAGGATAAAGGGGGGTGGTTTTCAACTAAGACAAAGCAGATGTAGGTTAGATATGAGGAGGAAGGTTTTCATTCCGAGGAATGAAAGGAACAGGCTGCCCAGAGAGGCTGTGGATGCCCCATCCCTGGAGGCATTCAAGGCCAGGCTGGATGTGGCTCTGGGCAGCCTGGTCTGGTGGTTGGCAACCCTGCACATAGCAGGGGGGTTGAAACTAGATGATCATTGTGGTCCTTTTCAACCCAGGCCATTCTGTGATTCTATGATTCTGTGGCATGTCTGCAACTGCATCTGTCTCTCAAATACAACAGATACTAGCCAGATGAGGCATATGTCTCCTGATGGGGAAATGTAAATAAAAAAGAAGACTTTTAACTTTGCATGCAACTCAAGTAGAAGTAGGCAATTATATCTATCCCAACATAAAGCTCTCAAAATCCTTTCCATCTTGTGTAGAATGCAGCTGGGACAGCATGAAGAGCAGAACACAATACTTTAAAAATGGCTTATTTAGTAATTTAATTGATTGATTGGGATACCAAGTCTTGTAGTAAAAATCTGGTCAGAGAGCAGTAAAAGCAGGCAGAATAATATACTCCACTGTATTCCTTAGTTCAAGGTTGCAGTCATCTCTTCTGTGTATTTTGTGCCAGTGATGGAAATCGTGGACATCTTAGAGGAGCTGCCTCCTGTTTGAAGGCACAGTCCTGTACTCTCTGGGGTTTTCCGTAGTGAGGGAAGGTGCAGAACTTAGAATGGGGTTGATGCACATACACTGAACTGTGTTACATTAATGAGGGGTATTTCCCATCTATTCCCATTCTCTTTGACGGCAGGAGAACCAATATCCAGTGGGGATGCTTACTGCCAGGAAGACATAAAATTTACTGGGAGGATCTATGAAGAAATTTCTTACAGAGGCAGTGGGGTCTCAGAAAGCAATCTAGGTGACTTAGGTATCAGGTAGATGTTAAGAAGGTAAGTACTGGCTCAGGACATTTAACTTGAGATTAATAGTTGCCTTTTTTTTCTGCTATACATTCACTGCTAACCATTCTGATGCTGTTTGGTCAAAAAATTGTTTTGTGAGCCCATGGGTCACTGACTTGTACAGTGGTCTTGAAATGGTAATGGATGTTAAAGAAGGGAGCTCCCAATCATGATGACCACGGATAGGTCCATTGAATCTCCCCCTGAGAGAACCAGCAAGTAAATCAGCTACAAAGTAATCCTATGTTTCCCACTGCAGGATTTGGTGGACAGCAATATGAGTATGGGAAGTAGCTGAACAGGCCTCTGAGCAACCTGATCGAGCTGTAATTCCTGTTCGCTGCTGGGGAGTTGGACTAGATGACCCTTAAAGGTCCCTTCCAACTCAAATAATTCTATGTTTCTATGAAAAATGTAGGAGAGCTGGATGTGGGGATGGAGCATTTACATATTTTTGGCAGTTTTTAGTGGAAGTAAGAATTTCAAAGGAAAATGCAGTTATCCTCAGATCATTGTCCTTAGAGGTAACAGCTAGTTTAGAACCCCTGACTATGTAGATGTAGTGATAAATATTTATTACTAGTTGGCTACTTCGCAGTCACCCACAGATTATTTTCCTATCCTGCTTTGTAGCACTCAGTATCACAAGTTGCTTTGAAGACAGCTTTAGATTTGACTTTCTTGAGCAAGGAAGGCAAACCTGTCACTTTGCTGTTCACATTTTTACTGACCATTTTCAGTATGCCTGCAGCACAGATCATAGTGCATCACAGAATTACACAGAACCACAGGGACTGGAAGGGACCTCAAGAGGTCATGATGTCCAACCCCCTGGTTAAGCAGGTACCCTACAATAAGTTGCACAGGTAGGCATCTAGCTGAGTCTTGAATATCTCCATAGGAGAAGACTCTACAACCTCTCTGGGCAACCTGTTCCAGAGCTCCATCACCCTTACCATAAAGAAGTTCTTCTGCATGTTAGTTCGGAAAGTTTTAAGCCAATACTCCTTGTGCTATCGCTAAACACCATCAAGAAGAGCCTGGCCTCATCCACATGCCTCCCATCTCCCTCAAGATCATAGAATCATCGAATGGCCTGGGTTGAAAAGGACCTCGAAGATCATATAGCTTCAGGCCTCCTGCTTTGGGCAGGGTGCCAACCACCAGACCAGGCTGCCCAGAGCCACATCCAGCCTGGCCTTGAATGCCTCCAGGGATGGGGCATCCACAATCTCTCTGGGCAGCCTGTTCCAGTGTGTCACCACCCTCGGAATGAAAACCTTCCTCCTCATATCTAACCTACATCTGCTTTGTCTTAGTTGAAAACCATCCCCCCTTGTCCTATCAGTATCCACCCTTGTAAAATGTTGTTCCTTCTCCTGTTTATATCACAGAATCACAGAATCACAAAGTTGGAAACGACCTGCAAGATCATCTAGTCCAACCACCCTCCCATTCCTATCGGTGCCACAAGCTACTGAACCATCTCTTGTAGCTCCTCATCCAGACGCCTCTTGAACACTACCAGGGACGGCGACTCCATCACCTCCTTGGGCAGCCATTGCAGTGCCTGACTACTCTTTGAGAGAAAAAGTTTCTCCTAATGTCCAACCTAAACCTCCTCTGGTATAACTTCTGGCCGTTTCCTCTGGTCCTACTATTTGCCTGGGAGAAGAGGCCAGACCCTTTTGCACCACAACCTCCCTTCAGGAAGTTGTAGAATGCAATGAGGTCTCCCCTGAGCCTCCTCTTCTCCAGGCTGAACAATCCCAGCTCCCACAGCCGCTCCTCATAAGACTTGTGCTCCAGATCCCTCACCAGTTTCGTTGCCCTTCTCTGGACACGTTCCAGGGCCTCAATGTCTTTCTTGTAGTGAGGGGCCCAAAACTGAGCACAGTACTCGAGGTGCGGCCTCACCAGTGCTGAATAGAGAGGGATGATCACCTCCCTGCTCCTGCTGGCCACACCATTGCTAATGCAGGCCAGGATGCCGTTGGCCCTCTTGGCCACCTGGGCACACTGTCGGCTCATGTTCAGCTGAGCATCAACCAACACCCCCAGGTCCCTTTCCTCTTCACAGTCATCCAACCACTCATCCCCAAGCCTGTAGCACTGCATGGGGTTGTTGTGGCCAAAGTGCAGAACCCGACACTTGGCCTTGTTAAACCTCATCCCATTCATCTCAGCCCAGCAATCCAGCTTATCTAGATCCCTCTGCAGGGCCTCCCTGCCCTCAGGCAGATCGGCACCACCTCCCAACTTGGTGTCATCTGCAAACTTACTCAGGGTACACTCAATCCCTTCATCTAAGTCGTCAATGAAGATATTAAACAGGATGGGCCCCAGCACCGACCCCTGGGGGACACCACTTGAAACAGGTCTCCAGCTAGACTTCACTCCATTGACCACCACCCGTTGAGCACGGCCCTCCAGCCAGTTCCTTATCCAACGGAGGGTAAAACTGTCCAAGCCACGGGCAGCCAGTTTCCGCAGAAGGATACTGTGAGAGACCATGTCAAAGGCTTTGCTGAAGTCTAGGTAGACGACATCAACTGCCTTTCCCTCATCTACCAGTCTGGTCACCCAGTCGTAGAAGGAGATGAGGTTGGTCAAACAAACAAACTTCATATCCTCTGTCCTAGATAGAATTTAGATTTATGGATATTATTGAGTTGATAGGTTGTTTAGACTATCGAAGACAATGAAGCTTTGCATTTCAAAGGGAGACTTGCTTTATCTAATTCATATTCCTGTATCTCTAACTAATGTGTTTATAAAGTTAGAAGATAGGCTGCAGAGATACTTATTATACTACAAGAGGACATTAGGCATTCTAAATGCAGATAAAGTTGTCATTTCTGTAGGAAATTATAGCTTTACTTAATAAAATTTTTTTCTTCTGCATCATTAAATCTCCTCAATTATAAAAGCTAATTACCTGTATAAAAAAGAGAATTTCTGTTTTTTCATCCTGTTTTTTCCATGGGTATAAAATCAAAATTCTAATTCACAAAAGCAAATATTTAAAATCACACCCTCCTTATTCAGATCAAAGTTATAACAACATAAAGGCTTTAAAAATGAGTTCAAACATTACAAACTTTGTGATGGAGTTCTCTTTGAGCACCAACCATGATACCAAAAGAAACAGGACGTCAAATGAGACTTGAGATTTGAAAAGTTGTTTCTTGCCTTTGCATAAATAAAAAGTCAAACAAACAACAACTTTGGTAATACTTACTATTTTGCTCTATGGTACAATTTGCATAATTATTTTGCATAGTTGTACACAGTTAGTCATTGGA